CAGAGGATGAAGAGAGCACATCCAGTTAGTTACAGTCAGAGAAACAGGACTACACTGGAAAACAGGCCGATCTCCAACATCTATAAACAAGGTTGTTGATGGAAGCAGCACAGCTGATATTTCTCTCCAAGGTGGTGTCACAGCCAAACAGGAACAGACCAATTGAAGCTACTATGACAAAAATCAGAGAGAGCATAACATAGAGATTGAACTAACAGATTCTGCAGAGTGAGAGTATAGAGATAGAATGAAACAGAATGATGAAATATGGGTCCCTATGTTCTTCAGAGGTCTAAGCCTATAGCAGCATAACTATAGAGATAGCTCATGATAACCTGAGCAACTCTAACTAAGCTTTATCGAAAAGGAAAGTTTTAAGCGTACCCTTAAAAGTAGACAGGGCGTCTGCCTCATGGATTAAAACTTGTAGTTGGTTCCACAGGAGAGGAGCCTGATAATTAAAAGATCTGCCTCCCATTCAATTTTTTCGCAATTTTGGGAACCACTACTAAACCGCAAGAGTTCCAACAAACTATGAGTCTTTTACTATATATTAACATTTATTTCCTTTTTTTGGAAACTGTTTTGTTTCTTGGTTTAACACATTTAGTCCAAAAGTATTATTCTGTGAACATACTTTGCACATTTGACCATACCGAGAACATTTACAGGTCTCATGCTTGTATTACTAATACAGTCACTTCGTCTCAGTTTGTGCCTAGGTTTCATTGCTTTACTTAACATTACAGAGCTTACTTATTAACATAACATGTTCCTCAGGTTGGGCTTTCAGATAACTCTGTGTAGCTTCAGAGCTCCTCTTTTTTCAAACGGCCTTGCTAGAAAATGTACAATTTCATTTGGGGTATTCTACTTCTCTTCAGGTTACTTCAGTTGAGCTTCTATTGTCAGTTATATTTTACAAAATATAACTGACAATATAACTAAGTCCTTTAAGGTCCAGTTTATAACTACAGTAGTTATTTGTAGCTGAAATTTTTAAAAAGACCCATAAAGAGCCTAGAGAATGTGACTTAAGTTTCCTTAATAGAATAAAAAGACGAAGCTGTCTTACTGGACTCAAAAAGTTTAAAACAAAAAAAGCTGCTATGAACCATAATGTGAAACCAAATAATAATTGGATACTTTAAAAAAAAAAAAAGAAAAAGCATATTTCTAACCTGTTAAATCTGCCTGTTTTGCATTGAAAGTAATGGCATTTCGGTTGTTTATAACTCAAAAAAATAAATGTGCCTATTTTCCCTGCTTTATTTTTTTGTGTTTCAAAAGTGTATAATTAAGTCCTATTTATTTTCTAATTTAACTGTTGATATAAATGTTTCGTCCTCTCTTCCCTTCTTCCAGTGATATCTCTTTCTGTTTGTTTTGATCATACAAGTCCATCTTCCTTTTTTCCTAATTTTACATTGCTGCCACTCTTTCTATCAATTTTGATCAATAATTATCCTCTCTTATTTACATATATGAAGCCTACTTTCTAGTTGTTTCTCTCCTTAAGATGATTTTAACCCTACATAGCATCAACTACAGTACAGGAGTTACTTGGTGATGTGTCATGTTAATCATATGGAGGGGAGACAGGCATTTCAGAGTGAGCTCCAGTGCCCTTCCTTGACCCTGGAGGACACACAACCATCATTCTGGACTTTTCATTGTCTTTAAGAAACCTACGCATGAGCTTACATAGAAAGAAAAAATAAGTTTTAGAAATAAAAAAAAACATAGTGACAGAGATGTGCTTTCAGTAAACTCTTTTAGTGGACCAAATATGTAGAACAACATGGCAAAGTTTTCAAGTCAATATAGATTCAGATCCAATGTTCAACTAGCTAAAATGTAGAGAAAGACGAAAACACTCAAAAAAGGCTTACTACTAGAATTCTCCTTATAATCAAAACTCACCAACTGGTTATGTTATGTTTTTTGGCATGCTCTTGGTAAGACAAAGTATCCCAATTGTGTTATTTCAAGCATTCCAAGACAAAACATTCAGCCATTATATTCCAAATACCTAACAAAATAAATGTATAATTTTTTTTTTTTTTAATCATTATAAATTCTATGAATTCCCTTTCAATAAAATGTTTGAAAATTAAAATAGAGTGTCTTGCAGGACAAAAGATTATATTGAGCAAATTACGACTGTATTGTATGTATTATATATTATTTGTTTAATTAGGCATGGTATTGCGCCAAGTGGAAAGAAATAATGTAGAGCAGAATTTTAAAGCCTAACGCAACACAAGGAGTCTGGAGATATTCTTTGAAAAGAGAAGTGAGATCAGACTTCCTAAAATTCAGTAAAAATGTGAATTCTGCAAGTGTGTACATCCCTTTCTTTCATTTTTCCTTCTTTCTTTCTTTTTTTCTTTCTTTCTTTCTTTCTTTCTTTCTTTCTTTCTTTCTTTCTCTTTCTTTCTTTCTTTAAAACTATTTGAAGTGAGCAAGATGAAAAGACACATGGTTTTTTTAAAATTTATATTTTATATCATCCAAAATCACAAGATAAATCTTAAAAAGGTTGAAACTAACAAAATAAACTAAAGCAAAACAACAACTTAAAATAACTCTCATCTCACTTTTGTTATCTCACTTTAACAAAAATACCTCACACAAAACAAAAAAGAGATCCAAAGCTCAAGTTATTGACACATAAGGAAAGGAAACAACAAATAGTTAATTTAAGTTCTTTCAAATAGCTAAAATACAACTTAAAAAAGCAAAAATCTTATAGAAAACATACAACAATTAAAATTAAGATAGTAATAATAGAGCTGTTCTTGATATTGCTAAATAAACACTTCCTTTTTCTAAACAGGTTGCATGCCGTGGTTTATCATTTGCATTCTGTGGTTTATCATTTGCATTTACATTAAGTGCATTCATCATCATTGATGAAAAAGCAAAGAAAAACACGGAAAATAGAAAGAATGCAGTAAAAAAAAAATACAAGAAAGCTATGATCCTCTTCAAACTTAAAATGATATTTTGCAAAACTGAGACATTCGTCCAGCACCTTCATGCAAAAACATTGTTGGTAAAATACATCTGAAAGTGGTGAGTCAATCTAATCAATATAGAATAATAGTCAAACTATTGTAGCTAGTTTCTAAATTTTAATACTTTTCTTATATTTTAGCAATATCATACAGAAATAACATGTTGAACTGAAGCCATTCTGTGAATATACAAAATAGACAAATCCTAATGTGTGTGTGTTGTTGCACATGAGTTGCTATCTATTATCTGCACAGCTCCAGCATTACCCTAGAGTTACGAGCTGCACTGATGTGGCATTGACAGGTTCAGACATCTTCAGGTAGTGGGCTCTGTCCCTGTTATTCTCATCTACAGCTCGGCAGCGCAAGAGACAAAAGAGATGATTTCGTAACTTTTGTATGAGCAAACAAAGCAAAGGGTTCATACAGCAGTGGGAGAAGGCAAGCAATCGACAAATATTGTAACCAATATCCAACTGCTGAAAAGCGTCACAAGTCTTTGGTTGGTACCAAGATTCAATTAGAAGATAAACATTGTAGGGTCCCCAGCAGATAATGTAGGCTACAACGATAAAAAAAACTATAGTCAGGGCTCTGTGCCTTGATCTGTTTGTTGCCTGTAAAATGGTTCCTATAATGGCACAATGGCAGAAAATGAGGATGGCAAATGGGATAAAAAAAAGCAGCACAACTTGGATATCATATCCAGGGCCCTCTGAATGGGAACTCTCACAGTGGTAGTAGTCATCATAAAACTTCACTTTGGAAGCATCGTACACCGATGTACCGATACTGATCACCCAGGTAGCCACACAGACACAGATAGTACATGTTTTCTTCCTTCGGTCGTTGTTCGGCCAGTTCTTCAGCACCACAATAAAGAAACGATCAACGCTCATGGCAGTTAGACAAATGATGCTGCTGTACATACCAGTGAAGTACATCGCAATGATGAACTTGCACAAAAAGTCCCCAAAGATCCAGTGTTTAAGATGATAAGTTGCCCAGAATGGGAGCGTGAGAGCGAATATCAAATCAGAGCAGGCCAGGTTCATCATGAAGATTTTTGTCACAAGGTTGAGTTTTTTAAAAGTGAGAAGAACCCACATGAGGATAATGTTTCCTATGATGCTGATGATGGTGATAATGATGAACAAATAACCAGTAATGATTGAAAAGTCAAAATGCTGACAGGCAAAGATGGTACCATTCCCTTCTTCATGGCTCAGGTTGTAGTCCATTGCGGATTATCTAAGGATCCTGAGCAGAGATTTAAGGCTTTTAAATTCACATAGAATGACAACAGATTATATAATCTCTTCTATTGATTTTACAGTCTTGTATATTTTACTGAATAACAATACAATTTCATATTGATTATAGAAAGCTTTTAAAGACTTACCCCAGACAGTGCAAACTGTTGTTTAGACACCCACTTACAAGAAAAAGCAAAAAACAGAACAAAAAGTTCCCTTTTTCTGTTTCCAATTAAGTCAGACGTCAGCGATAATCAACATAACCACTACAGTAATGATGTCTCAAAATTATGACAGTATGAAAATCAAACACTTGCAGAATCAGGCGGGTATAATTAGCTTGGCACAAAAATAAGTAGTTCACTCTTTATTTACCTCTTTACCTGAAGGTTAAAAAAAATCAGCCCCTGAAAAACATTTTTTTCTTTGAGCCTTGGCCTCCTTCACCCTGCACTAAAAAGCGGGCGAATGCAAAGAAATAAACACAGTTGCCTTTCTCCAGTGCAAATTAAACAAATTATGTGCCCAATATAAATACCCTTTTGTAATTCCCTTATAAGCATCTTTGCTTTGACTTTTTATGTATTTTAACTAATCGCTTTTTTACATGATCTTTTTATCGGTTTGATATTGTTTCATTTTTGTTTTAATGTGTTGGTTTATTCTTGTAATGCTACTTCCCCTTTGGGATCTCCATGTCTGTTTAGTTTGGTAAATTGCAATAACTACAAAAATTAAACCTCAAATAACTGAAAAATGGTTAAAGCCATACTGCAACATGTACCCATTCATCAGTATGCTGTATGGGAAATTACATTTTTGTTGTACCCTTGACAATATTAGTATCCAGAGAGGTGAACATTTACTGTACCAATCTCTCATCCTAAGACTTGTTACAGTTTGTCTTCATCACTGAAAGAACTTTGCTGGGAAATTCAAAGGGTTCCTACACAAAATCCAGCAGTATTCAAAGTTGTCAAACGTTTTCCTCAAGGTTTATATTATTTTTTAGTATATCTGGAAAGCTCATCAGAAAGTGTTTATTCTATTAATATTTCTATAAGGGAAGGTTGAGGTACCGTTCTCTACTTACAGTACCTCAGAGAGGTGCTGCCATCTTCAGTCCAACCATCAAACTTGGCAGCATAAACGTCCAATGCCACATAGGCTTGAAATCAGGGTTCTCAAACATCAGTTTATGATATATGTAATAATTCAATCTGTCTCTGGACACTCCCATAGGCCTAGAGTTGTGCTTTTTCTGTCCTTCTTTTTTGTTTTGGAGTATGACCAGTGGGTTATGATCTTTTATCAGGGAAGATACAAGAAATGGTTTCCTAGTACCGGTAGGTGTTTTTATGGCAGCCAGCTTGTTTCCCTGCTTAAGAGGAGGCCACATCCAACCTGCTCTTTTATGAGAAGTGTAGTGTTGAGATCTGAACTTTGATCTGTTGAAACATTAAGTAAAATAATCAGCAAAAAATCTAAAGTCTGCATTTATATACAGAAGGTGTTTGCCTGATATTAAATGAGTGAGAATACATATTATGTATGTGATGGCAAACTTGCTTTTTTCCCCCCATTTGATTCACCCAAGATTGAGGTGATTAGCCAATTTGAATTGAGAAGGTGGAGTTTGTGCTATAAAGAGGTAATCTGCTGGATGTGAAAGTGTCTGATGTGGAGGCTTTTTTTTTTTTTTGCTTTAGGGAACAAAAAACTTGCTTTGTTTTCATTGTCAGATTTTTTTTTCTTTTCAACCAACACCTCAGTGTCACAATAGCCTCTGCCACTGCTTGGTAGGAGTGGCAGAGAGAATAGGGGAAGAAAGCCTATTTTGGTCTCTTGTGTAATGGTGTGTTTATCAGTATTCAAACTTCTTTTCATTCATTCCAAAATAAATGGACTCATGATTTGAAAAAAGGCAGTCTTATTATCGTTTATTGCATAATCATGATTGTAATCACTTCTGTACATTACAATATGAGTGGGTTAATAGGGACATACAGATGAGCAAACAGTTACTTTTTATTTTAACACTTAGGCAAGAAATTGTAACCCAGTAGTATATGTATATGTCCAAATGAAATAGCTGCTGTGTAGATTCTCAGCGTCAGCTTCTTCCTAGTCTTTCTTCCTGGTTTCTGTGATAGCATTTAACATGAAGTGGGCAGATTTATTCACCTAAGTGTACACAGATACAGTTACTTGCATTAAATGCTTACATAATATATATATTTTTATTACAATCAGCTTGGGGCATTTAATTATACTAAAAGCTGCAAAATGTATTGATAAATGCAAAATAAAATGAGAAATTATCTACTGTATCTACAGTAAAACAAAGTAAATACAGTGACACGATTCTGAGCTGTGCTCATATATACAAACATGTATATTTCACTTTTCTATCTGAAGATATATACATATTTAATTTGGTCAATAATCTTGGTTTCCTGATTGCCTGGTAATATTTGTCTACTTGGATATTACAGTCCAAAGCATGACTTAATTGGATATGAGTTGCTTTCAAATTAGGAATGTGTAAGTTAGTATTTTTACCAACTACATAGAGAATTCGTTGCTGCTTGTTAAAGACGTGATCGTCGCTCTGCTCTCCCTCTGTGGGAAGCTATGGTTACGGTGGCCCCAGTTCTGCAATAGTTTTTTTAAATGGGTTTTGTATTTAACTCCAGCAAACACATAAAACACAGGGTTGAGACAGCAGTGAGAAAAGGCAAGGAGTCGGGTGATGTAGAAGGCATATTCTAGAGTTGTGCGATTTTTACAAATTTCTGTTTTTTGTTCTTGATTGTCAGCAGTTTGTCCATGCCCTAATGTGAATGACTTTAGCCAAATTACAATGTTATAAGGACCCCACCCCAAAAAGAAGACAATCATGAGAATCAAAATGAGTTTGATGGTTTTGTTTCTTCTTCTTTGGGCAGTAGGACGCAACAACCTGCAAACGATCAGAGAGTAGCAGAAGGCAAAAACTAAGGCTGTTGAGATGAATAGAACATTTTGTTCATAAATTCCCAATCTTGATGAGAAAGAGTCTCCATAACCACAAAAATCCTTGGGTTTTCTACTTGAATCTTCGTTGTTCTCAGCATTATCATAGTCATGGCCCTTTATGACTGTGACGAACATGAAGACAGGACTTGCTGCCAGGATACTGACAACCCAGACTATGACAGAGGTCAAAATCCCAGAGAGACCTGTTGTGGATACGATGCTAGAGAGAGGATTCATGACAGCTATATAGCGGTGGATAGTCATCAGGATGAGGAAAAAACCACTGCTGTAGAAGCCAACAAAGAAGAGAAAGTTAACAACCTGGCATGCAGGCTCCCCTAATGTCCATCCATGCATGTGGTAGTAAGCCCAGAAGGGCAGCCCTAAGGTGAAGAAGAGATCCGACACAGCCAGGTTCAGGATCAACATATTGGTGATGGCTTTGACATTCTCATACTTGAACAGGATCCCAAGAACAAGGATGTTGCCAAACAGACTCAATATTATCACAAAAGAAAAAAAAAAGATGGTTAAGGTGTCGCCAAAATCAATCATTTCTTTTTGGGGACAGTGGTCAGATGTAATATTATCCATATCGTCATAGTCGAATGTTGTCTCCATTGTCATCTTTAGCACTGCTGTTTGGGTGATGCCTGCTTTTTCAGAATCCATGAAGCTTTCGTCTGTGTTGATTTTCCTCTGGAGGGAAAAAGAGATGACATACATAAAAATGAATGAATAAAGCTTTTCATCTTTAGCGCCTTCTTCTTAAAAACATATTAATTAAATATTTACTTCTTCACTATCTTCAATAGTGTGCACAAATTTGAGACCAAAAAATAAATAAATAAATATATATGTATATATATATATATATATATATATATATATATATATATATATATATATATATATAAACCTTCAGGTTAAATGTCACGTTTAGATACTAATATTGTCTCCATTTAAATGCAAAACAATTGTGACCTTAAATCTAAGAAAGGGTCAAAAGCATAAATAATCTAGGCATATACTGTACCGGTGTAGTGGTGCAAGGAATTGTTACGATCAGCAGTAAAGACAGAGGCAGTAAGTCTCACCTTAAGTAAAAAATCAAAGAGGAACAGAAAAGCAAGCATTTTCATTTCATCAGGTGGTTTCATTAAATACATTTGCTTCACAACCTGCATGGAGATACATGGAGAATACAATGTTCAATATGTTGTTTGACATATACATTTTTTTTTTTTTTTGACTAATAGAAACTTCACTCCTAAAGACAATTCCCTCATAATGATTTATTTTAAAGAAATTCCGGGCAAATGATACTAATAGATTTATTCCTCTATTTTTTTTTTTTTTTTTGCAAACTGGTGAGAAACCTTTCAGATTTTTAGTTTCCAGATCTTCTATTGATCTAATATTACTGTTGTAATTATCAGTGTTGTTATCACTATCATTGTTATTAATACTGTTTTGTTGTTTTTATTAATAGTACTGTTGTAGGTATGTTAATAGTTTTATGCATTGGGTCCCTTTTCATATACCGTATATATATATATATATATATTGTTTTTGTTTTTTACATCATAATAATTTATTTTATTGAAATTCCGGGCAAATGATACTATTATATTTCTTCCTCTAATTTTTGTTTGTTTATTTGTTTTTTATTTATTTATATATTTATTTTTTGCAAACTGGTGAAAATCCTATCGGTTCCTTGTATTTATTTAGCTGCGTGATTCTCAGACAAACTATGTTTGCCTTCACCTGATTGGTCAGTCCGCCTGTCAGTAATTCCTTGATCCCGCCTCCATACCCGGCTATGTTTTTCTTGTGCCTGAATTAAGAAGAAACTGGGAACGGAGTACATTATCATTCATCAGGTATGTATTTTATACAGGTTCAGGTTCATTGAGCAGATGTTTACTGGTATTTATATTGAAACTAACGACAAATATCACGGAAGTATAAATAAAATCAGAGCAGGAAGTTGATAGCTAGGAGCAGGTGCATGCTCACTGACATGTCGATGTTTATGTTGCGTTTCAAAACTGTTCGCAGTGATAGGAGACAATCTTGTCATTTTAAATGTGGGTAATATTTGAATCAGTGTTGTATGATAATGGCCGTAATAAACATTATGATTTGGTCAGGTCGCATGGTTTTTTAACGTCTGCCAACAGCAGAATGATTTTGCTAACTTTGCTCAGCTATGATACATCGCATCTTCACTGATCTATGGATTATTTTCTAATAAAAGCTTTGGTTTAATTTCTAATGAACTCGCTGAATGTCAGAGGAGACTGCGTATTTTTGTACTAGGAAAAGGTAACTATTGCCACAGTTTGAATGGTAGCTTAATTCATAGCCAGATTATGTTCTTCTTTTCTTTTTCTTTATAAAGTCTCTTTCTGTAGCAGACCTAAACCCAACAATGGCCTCCTCTTCATCAGTTGGAGATAAACAGCTGCAGAGGATCATCAGAGATCTACATGGTAACCTATTCACACATGCAATAAGGATGTTAGACATGACTTCCAATTCAGTGCATATAAGGTCAGTTAGTAATTAACAAAACAAATAAAAATCATTACTTAAAATTATCAGGTATATATATATTTTTAATATAATACAACCATTAAAAATGTATTTTCATGTGTATATATATTCAGGCAGGTTGCAACAAAAGGGTTATACTGTTTACAAATCACAGATTATCATTATTTCTACTAAGATGTTTTATCCACGGCTGTTGTAAATATAATCAACATGTATGACTTTTTTTATATATTACAATGTAAACAAAAAAAAAAATGCATTGCTTTAATGTTTCAAGAATAAAATTGTTGGTTGATAGACCTGTTGATTGGCTTCAGATTAGTGATCAACCATTAAGATTCAGAAAAAACATGCAAAAAAGTACCGCAAAATGTGCTTTGCTTCTGTTTTTATTTTGATAACTCACAAATGGGAAGGAAACATACACTTGCTGAATATGTGCCCTGTTTGACTTAAAGCTGCTGTTGTTTATAAACCTGCAGCACATTTTTTTTTGTCTTTTGTTCCTTGGAATAAATAAAAACAGTAATGGCCAGATTTCTGAATGGGTTAGACGTTAAATAAAACCAGATCTTATCTGGAAGACATGCCCAGTATTTATTTTGTGCTTATTGTGAATAAAACAAAGTATAACTTCCAAGAAAAATGGCAATGTAAAGTGTGCTTAACCTAAAATCAAGATCTATTGTTTGTTTACTAACCCTGCTTTTGCTTTTTGTCCTAGATGCTGTTATAGAGTTGTGTAAAGAACACAAAGAGTGTGGTGAGCCTATAACCGATGATAGTTCCAATCTGCACAAGTTCTTCTATAAGCTGGAATACCTTTTGCAGGTATATCAATTCCACACTAAGGGAGCTGTTTACACTGAGCTGTCATATAGATGTACCTTTCTTATTTTAAAAAAATCAAGATGGTGCCTGAATCTGAAGTACCAGAATGTGTTTTGATTTATAATAAGTAACTTTTGTTTTCTTAGAATGTATGTTATAATTTTTATCACTGTATTTTATGTGTTGCTGCTAAAAATGAAAATACCCTTAGAAAGTTGTAAACTCTTAAAAGTGTGACAAATAAACACATGTCGGATGGGCAATCATGTTGAGTTGCAAAGAGTTGTTTACAGCGATGACCATTGAATTAATTAATGTGAGGCTGTGTCTGTTCATTCCAGTGTTTTCTGCACTGTACTTTTAATTCATGAAAATAGAGATTAAATATTTTTATTTTTTCGATACACATATCAAAGTTCCTACGTTTTAACAAAGTGAACAGTAAGTGGCACAATTTCAGATAATGTATCCCTTTAACTTCATCCTACAATCATGAACAGATGTGATCTAGCTGAGGAATTTTTTTAATCTCATGATTGACCAAAACAAAGTAGTTGATTGTTTTCTCTTTTTTTTTTGCCTGCTTAAAAACACATCTGCCAGGAAACGTACACTTCAAATTAAAATACAGAACATGTTGGTCACTATAAAAATGCTTGAGACTACAGTATGGCTCTGCAAAATGGCTAAATATATATAACGCGTTCATATCAGTTGATGTCAATATTAATTGGGTCAAATTTTTTTTTATTTTACCCATTTTAAAGGAGGAACAAAGTACAAGTTTAAATTTAAATTATGTTTGGATATAAGCTTTAACCTTTAAAAATAGATCAGCTGTATGACCAGAAATATGAATATTTATTCATTCTGAAATTGGAAGTCTTCGATCAAATGTTTTGATTTCTGGTAGAACAGAATGTTAAGGGCTTAAAGGAATAGTACACTCAAAACATGATTAGCCTTCATTTTCTACTCACCCCCATGCTGAACAACACTCTGGAGTACTTTTTTGATATCTCAAATGCATCTGGAGATCTGGGAGGCTTCTTGCTGTCTGCTGACATTCAAATAATGGAGGTCTATGGTGACCGAGACAGAAAGGTCCATAAAAGTCCACAAAAAACGTGTCAATATTCCTCCATACTGCTCGTCCAATGTATTCCAAGTGTCCTGAGTGGGTAGCATCCAGAATTTACTCGAAACAAAGTCATTTAGAATGTTTTTAGAGCATAAACAGTAGTGTATAGGATTTCCTGAAAGCGCGCACCTGCATGTTCACGACGCTACGGAAGCCGGCAGACAGAACCAGATGAAAGTGCGCATTCAGCGTCTGCTCTGCAGATAATGCAAGCGTAGAAGAAGAAATGTGCTGTTTACCTGTGCAAAGAAAGAAACAACGAAAGAAAAATGTCTGAGGACTTCAGTGTTGAGGAAGAGCATGAGTTCTTTGCCGAGCTAAATGCGCACTTTCGTCTGGTTTGGTCTGCCGCGGTTTCCGTAGCGTCGTGAACGCGCTTTCAGGAAATCCTATACACTACTGTTTATGCTCTAAAAACATTCTAAATGACTTCGTTTCGAGTAAATTCTGGATGCTACCCACTCAGGACACTTGGAATACATTGGACGAGCAGTATGGAGGAATATTGACACGTTTTTTGTGGACTTTTATGGACCTTTCTGACTCGGGCACCATAGACCTCCATTATTTGAATGTCAGCAGACAGCAAGAAGCCTCCCAGATCTCCAGATGCATTTGAGATATCAAAAAAGTACTCCAGAGTGTTGTTCAGCATGGGGGTGAGTAGAAAATGAAGGCTAATCATGTTTTGGGTGTACTATTCCTTTAATGTTGGCTTTTCTAAGAGTTAATGAAGTGGGCATTGCCATCAACTTTTGCTGAAGGGAAATACATTTGAATTGTACAGAACATCCAGAATATTGTTTCTCTTTATTATAATCATGTTCCATTGCTCTCCACTGCAAAAAATTTCAGTAAGTCATTTTCTAAGTACAATTTCTTGAATTGAGGAGGTAAGTGGGACACTTTCCCAATGGAAGGAGACAATTTACATTTAAAATAAGAAAAAACAATTGCATTGTGTTTTTTCAAGCGCAAATTATCTAATTATCTTATTTTAAGAGTAAAAAAATAAATTCTGTTGTCAGATAATCCTATTTACCTGTTCAAATTAAAGGCTAAATACATTTAATTTAAGAATTTTTTCCCTTATTTCTAGATTGTTTTGCAGTGTCCTAAAATAGTTTGGTTAATCAAGTAAGGAAAAAAACAAGTTCATCAAAAGAATATTTGATTTTCCAGGCTTTACGTCTCTGTTGCAATCAATTCAGACCCAAATCAAAATTCCAATTTAAAAACACCATTACTTTTTTAAATTATTGATTCATTAGAATGACATACTTTATCGTAATGTTGCCAAATCCCACCTTCATTTTAAGATTTTTATCATTAACATTGGTTTCATCTAAATTAAATTAAATTAAGTAAATAATAAGAGATTCCAAACTTTGTTTGCCTTGATCGTCTGAGCAAGGGTAGGATTATTGTTGACAAGGCCAATATTAGCTTATGTTAATATTGGTTAATTTTAACCTTTATGTTGGTTAACAGGGATAGCATTATTAAAAATATAAATAAAAAAAAAAC